CAGTTTTCTTGCCATTTTCCAGTTGGTCTAATAAAAGGTATCATTTTGGAACCAAGAGTTCTAGTTTTTTGTATGTCTTTTTGTCTCAGACCAACATGGCTGCCAAGTACACGCCTGATTTCTTTTTGACATTCATCTGAAGAAGAGGATAATACTAGGCACTTTTACATGAAGAATCTGAGCATAAAAACTAATTCTGAAATAAGAACATGACACAAATCAATTTTTCTAATATACTCAATGGTAAAGTTTGTTGTAATAATTGTACTGCCAAACCTATTGTAATATCAGATGTCTGGTGTTAACTTGTAAGGCAAGTTATCATTGGTCCAGGTGACAGAATGGTTTATGCCTGTGGCAGCTCCCTCATTCTGCCACAGATTTGACATGGGTAGAGTTTTTCTAGAGGACTATGTAAGAAAGCATTATCAATATTTAATTCAGCAATTGTTCTAGTGATATGTAATGACTGTACCACCAAGAACTAATGTCTGACCCTAGCTAAGCTGTCAGTCAGGATAATAGGGGACTAAAAGGACTATATTTTGGTCTATATGTGTGTATTGTGCACACCCGAATGGTAGGAAAATGCAAATCCAGGGACCATTATTGACCTCATACAGTAGTCAGTCAAGGACTAGGAAAATGTGGGGCCTTGGATCCATTCTGCAATATATCAGTCAGTAGAGCTTAGCCAGCCTGGCAGGGGAAGGAGGCTATGGCAAATGTAGGACTGGTACAGATTTCCTCACAACCTGGAAATGACTGTGGGACAGAGCTGAGGGACAAATTGTCACTTGATAGTATTGTCACTTGATAGTGACAGATTGTGACCTGATAGTAAGTATTTTCCAAGAGCAGAGCAAATATTTAGTGCCCCTTATTTGGGAATCAAAACAATGCCACAAATGACTTGGGCAAAATTTCACAGGGAAAAATGCCCGAGTGCTTTTATGAGAGAAAACAGTAGCAATTACATGTCAATGGTTTAAATTTGAATAGGGGCAAATCAGTAACAATACACTAAAATACAGCTTCAGGGAAGTAGAATGTGTAATAGAGAATAGTTCATCTGCCCACCTTGGACTAGACAGGGATGCTTGGCTGTGTTCCATTGCTGGAAAGCATTAAAATCTGAGTGTCTTTAATAATTGTCTTAGTTTTTGCTCTTTATTTGAAATCTCGTTATTTTATGTGCATTCTATCACTGCTGTGGTTTACTTCTGCAACCACTAAAAACTTGTGAATTTCCACACTTCCGAATTGTAGCTTGTTAAATGATGCTCTCACTTTGCCTCTGCAGTGGTTCAAGATTAGGAGTTGTTCATCATCATGATGTGCGGGTTGCTCAACACCATGTAGGGACTCTTTGTCAAAACAAGCAGAGCATTTGCAGCCTGAAATGGTCCCTAAACAACAAGCTGCTGGCAAGTGGGTCCAGTGATGGCATATTGAATATTTGGCCTAGTGATCCTGGAGTGACAGTGTATTGCAAGCCAGTGCAAACTATGTCCCATCCCTCAGCAGTAAAGGTACAAGTGTTCTATTATTTTACATAAATAGTATATTTGATACAAAGGACAGTATTTTCTCTATATGTATTTATGTGCTTTATTTATTGGTGATGGAAGATATGTCAAAAGGCCATCAAAATAAAATGACACAATGGTCTTCAGACTTTTAGGGTAATCTCAGTGAGCCTTCCTAGTTTTTGCTACTCAGAGGGCACATCTATATGAGATGCTACTGTGTAGGTAGCTTGTTGCTACCATGCAATAACATTGCTGGGCGCTAACTGTGTGGTGACAATACTGTGCAGTAGTAACAAGCTATTGTGCAGTATTGTTGGAAAAAATGTGCAGTGATGGTACTGTGCAGTAACACTGGTAGTAACAACTGTGCAGTCTGCTGCTCATGTAGACATGGCCACTATGCACCGAAGTTAATTCAGGTCCATTTTAATATGGTATTATTCTAAAGTCCAAGTGAGTCTCAATGATGCTTTGATTTCTCAGGAGTTTGTTTCCATTTATGACTTAGTTTCAACAGTCACCTACAGGGGAGCAGGCAAGAAAGTCAGCTTAAGAGGGCACAGATGCATGTTTCTGTGGATCTGGTGGCCATATTACTCCTGGCACTGAGGGCTGTATGGTTGCAGCCTGAGGGAGTGTGTGTGTGTGGAGGTGGATTTTTCTTTCCAAGTTACATTCCATAAAATCTGAATATCCAAATGTTACATGGGTGGAATACATTTCTGCCCTTACAAGCATTTTTATCCTGCTTGCCCTTCCTTATCCCTTGTAACTATAATGCTAGTGGACTCTTGAAAACTAAGCACCTTGATACACTAGGGAGAAGCAACAACTAGAGCTAGGGGAAGCCTGAGTTTTATGAGTGTATCTGGAGGTAGGGCAGGCCACTATGAAGCAATAGTAATTGAAGTTTGAACAGAGGTTGGAACTGAGGAATCCTACATTTTATAGCTTCCCTGGAAATGGGTGCGTGTGATAATATGTGCACATGTGGGTAGAGTAAGGCTAGGGGCAAAAGTTACACATAACCCAGTTTAAGTGATCAGAAGCTGGTTTAAACCTGTAACAAAACAGAACTTCAGTGCAGATAAACTGTTTTCAAAATGGCTGAAACTGGTTTAAGATAAACCTGGTTGGAGGTAGTATCAGACTTAACTGATTTACGTCAAAACAGTTTATGGAACTTCTGCCCCAGATCCCCTTCCTATTCAAATTAACTCACAGTCCCCCAACATCCCATGATGCTTTGCAGCCCTGTGCTGTGCTGTCTGCTCCAGCAGAGCAGTGTCTGCCTCCCCACTCTGCTCCATAATCAGGGCAATATCACTGCTCCAGCTGGCAGAGAAGGGGGTGGTGGGGAAAACTGTAAAACTGAACCCCAGCCTGGTTCTGCCTGGTGGGGGGAAGTGAAAAGGGGGGAAGCCCTTGGAGCCCTCCACTCAAGCAGAGAGGGGCAGCATGGCCAGATGCTGGTCTGGCCATGCTGCCCCTCTCTCAGTTCGAGTGGTGGGGAGAGAGTCTCTGAGAACTTCCCTCTACCCCTCACCCCTTCCAGGCATACCCTGGCTAGGGTCGGTATGGGCCAGGGTTGAGGTTTAAACCCCCTCCCCACATCCTCAGTGGGCCAGGCCAGGGCCTGGCCATGCCCACCCTCTCCACTCAAGCAGGGAGCTGGGAGAAAGCCTCTGAGGGCTTGTCTCCCAGCTTTCCTCCCTTCCCTTCAGCAGTGGCAGTGGGCTGGGAGGCCTGCTCTAATGCCCACTGGCTTCTGGCCTGGGCCACTACAGGCATGTGGCTGCATTTCCAGAATCAAAAGTGAATGTCTGTTTACTTGCTTATTGGGTCAATCTATGTAGTTTAGACTAACCAGCAAAGATTAAACTGATTCAACCTTGGGCTTTTTGACTGTCTGTACTTAGCCTGAAAGGGAAAGAAGTGAACAGAACAGGTACGTTGACTGTTGTTTGTTGCACTGCATTTCTCCAAGTTATTTTTAAAGGAAATATATTACATTTCCTATCTCCCTTAATCTTCTGTTTTAGCATGGTATCTATTTACTTTTCTTCAGGCTATGAATTGGTGTCCATGGCAGTCTGAAATCCTTGCCACTGGAGGTGGATTGAAGGATGGGCTTTTACGTGTCTGGGACATTAACAGTGGGAAAACGATCAAAACTGCAGAAACAAAATCTCAGGTGAAATCATAAGCTACCTGCCCTTGTCTTGTAAGGCTGCACTCCTCTAACAAAACTCCCATTGACTTCAATAGAAGAATTGTGTTTGGGGTTGCAGTGTCCTGTCTATACATATATTTATACTGTATTCCATCTTATTATATCCGATTGGATTCATGATCAGTTATTATTATTTTATTCTTATCCACCACTTCTGTCTCATCACAACTTTTAATTTGGTTAGAGAGGAGGTAAGAGCCAGGCTACTTCTCATTGGCAGTGCAGTTTTTGGTGAGGAAAGAAAGATATAGGAAAAGCAGAGTTCCCAAGAGGCCTAAGGTACTTGGAGTAGTGGGGAGGTGTGGTGAATCAATGAACAAGGATCAATCCCTGTAGTCTGAATATTAGGAGGCAGAGGGCTAGAGATTCTAAGCTGGTATAAACTAGAATAGCTCTGTTGATTTCAGTGAAGCTATGCAGTTCATATCAGCTGAAGATTTAGCTGTAGTTTAGATGCAGTTGTACTCAGACTAAGTTGCTATTCAAGGAAATCAAATGATCCTCCTAAATATGTAACTATTCTCCTGCTGTTCTGCAGAAATGTGTATGTTTTGGACATTTATGAATGACATTTTCTAAAACCTATTGAATGATGCATGTGGATCCTCTTTGAAAACTAAAATGATCTTTTAAACTGCACTAGATTTGCTCTCTGTTCTGGTTACCCAATACCAATGAGCTAGTGACTGGACATGGTCTCCCTAAGAATCAGATCAAGATATGGAAGTATCCCATGCTTGCAAATTCAGTGGAGCTTTTTGGTAAGTATTTCAATAAGCTAGTTTGCCTCACTAAGTGTGCTTTCTTTCTCTTTATTGAATCTGTTTTTACACACAGATACATTGTGGTTATTTATTAAAGCTGAAGAAATAAAACAAGTTTTAAAAGTCAGTCTTTTCAATCATCCATTGTTTTACTGGACTCAATTCAATCCTAGGACAAAATTAATCCCTATGGTAGAAGGTCTGTATACCAAACAGATTCCTCAGAAGACTTATCTTGAGGGCATACATGGGACTTGTAGATATATACAGTGTAGGAACTGTAGAGTGGTTCAGTTTATTGGATCAATGCAGTGGCATAACTAGGGTGAGGCAAAAAAACTTGTGGTGAGGGGAGTAAAAAACCTTGTTGGGATTGGCAACTATGCAGTCTTGCTGGTGGTACGGTAGCAACTGGAAGCCACAGCTGTCCCTGTACCCTGCACAGGCATACTCATGCCTGTGTACTTTTGTGTGCCTGTGACTTGGTTTCAAGCCACCTACAGGGGAGCAGGCAAGAAAGTCAGCTTGAGGGTAGGATGCAGGGAGGACACAAATATATGGTTATGAAGATATGGTGGCCATATTACCCCTGGCACTGATGCCTGTATGGATGTGGCCTGAGGGAGTGTGTGTGTGGAGGCGGATTTTCTTTTCCAAGTTACATTGCATAAAATTTGAATATCCAAATGTTACATAGGTGGAATACATTTCTGTCCTTACAAGTGTTTTTATCCCGCTTGCCCTTCCTTGTCTCCCCTCATCTATTACTGAAATAGCATTAAATTAGCAGCCTTGTCCATCTCTGAGAAATAGTCTGGGAAGAGACATTAGCATGGCTGGAAAATAACTAATTATATTTACATTCAGCCTCAGCAACTACTTCATAGATATCATAGATTTCATAGATATTAGGGCTGGAAGGGACCTTGAAGATCATCAAGTCCAGCCCCCTGCTCCAAGAGCAGGAAGTCAGCTAGGGTCAAAGGATCCCAGCAAGATAAGCATCCAATTGTTTCTTGAATGAGTCCAGAGTAGGTGCCTGCACCACTTCTGGAGGGAGTCTATTCCAGGCCTTGGGGGCTCAGACAGTAAAGAAGTTATTCCTTATGTCCAGCCTAAAACAGTCATTGAGGAGTTTATGACCGTTGGTCCTTGTTATCCCTTGGGGCGCTCTGGTGAACAGACATTCTCCCAGATCCTGATGCACACCCCTTAGGTACTTACAGGCAGCCACCAGGTCACCTGTGAGCCTGCGCTTTTCCAGGTTGAAGGGTCCCATGTCTCTCAGCCTCTCATCATAAGGCCTATTCTCTTGCCCTCTGATCATGTGCATGGCTCTCCTCTGGACTCTCTCAAGCTTCTCCACATTCTTCTTGAATTGTGGAGCCCACAATTAGATGCAATACTCCAGCTGAGGCCTCACCAAGGTCGAGTACAGCGGGAGGATGACATCCTGAGATTTACTTGAATAGCATCTATAGATGCAAGCCAGAGTTTTGTTTTCTTTACCAGCTGCGACATCACATTGGTGGCTTATGTTCATTTTGTGGTCAGTCATGACCCCCAAGTCTCTTTCAGCTATGGTGTTAGCAAGTGTAGCACTGCTGAGCCCATAAGCGTGCTGCAGGTTTTTTCCCCCCAGGTGGAGTACCTTGCATTTTTTGGTATTGAAAATCATCAGGTTTATATCTGCCCACTTACTAAGCTTATCCAAGTCAGCCTGGATCACTAGCTTATCCTCAGGTGCGGATGCTATGCCCCAAAGTTTAGTTTCATTGGCGAACTTGGCCAGTGCGTTTCTGACACCAATGTTCACATCATTGATAAAGATGTTAAAGAGAACCGGTCCAAGGACAGAGCCTTGGGGAACACCACTGGTCACGGAGTGCCATGATTCGTTTCCATCGACTACTACTCTCTGAGTCTGATCTCGGAGCCAATTTTCCAGCCATTGGATTGTGGTGTAGCCAAGGCCACAGTTGGCCAGTTTTCCCATAAGGAGATCATGGGACACCAGATCAAAGGCTTTTTTAAAGTCCAGATATGTGATGTCAATCTCTTCTCGTTTGTCTAGGTGATATGTCACCTGGTCATAGAAGGAGATGAGATTGGTCAGGCAAGACTTACCTCTGACAAACCCGTGCTGGCTGTCCCTCAGGATGTTGCCATCAGCCAGCTTATCAAGAAGGATCTCTTTGATAATTTTCTCCAGAACCTTACCAGGAATTGAGGTCAATCTCATTGGTCTGTAATTCCTGGGATTTACTTTCTGCCCTTTCTTGAAGATGGGTACCACATTGGCCTTCTTCCAGTCTTCAGGTACTTCACCTGAGCACCATGAGTTTTCGAATATTTTTGTCAATGGTTGGGTTATGACACCTGCCAGCTTCTTGAGTACTCTAGGGTTTAATCTGTCAGGACCAGCTCACTTGAAGATGTCCAGCCTCTCAAGGTGTTCCTTTACAAGGTCTACACCAATGCTGGATATAAATACGCCCTCACCCTGGCCATCCTACATCAAGCTAGGCAGGGTGGTCCCTGACTTTGCTCGCCAGGGACCTTCGTGCAGACTCCAGAGGGTGCCTTGGTTACCTTCAGGGTGACCCCAAAACTCTCCTGCCATGACTTTGAATGTTCCTTCAGTGGAGGGGGTCCCCCTTGAGGATGCCTCCAGAGCTGTCATCCGTCACGGCAGTCGTTCACGGGGCTCCAACCTTCCCTACACCCTGACCATGTGCCACCCTTTGAGATGGGCCTCCAGATCTTTTCACGGCTGTCCCCTGCTGATATCTTCCCTGGTCCCCACGACTCCTGCTGATGAGTACCCTGGGCCCTGGCTGGACCTGGAGGGTCTGGTGACTCTCTGCCTTTGGGCTTGTCTTCTTTGACGCCTTGAGCTGTCTAAGTCTGAAGCCATTGGCTCTCACTGCCTTCTCATGTGGTTCGTTTCTCACCGTTGGACGAAGTCCCAGCTACCCTGGCCTGGTGCTAAGAGCTCCTGCTAATTTGTGTCACCAGGGAACTAAAATAGATAAACCCTAAAAGGGGAACGCAATCAATACCCTCACCACAAACCCGTCACCCTAAGGTGACCAGACATGAAACAAAACAAGGAAACTAACAATGTGACTGCAGGGGGAGCATGACAAAAGGGGGAGAAACAGGAAGAGGAGGACCCATGGGGAGAGTTCCATATCCTTCTGGCCCCTAACGCCCCTAGGCTAGCATGCCCTCTGGGTTGGGATTTGTGCCTTCACCCCAGCTGGGGTGTCTCTCCCCTTCTCTCCAGGATCCACCTCCACCCTGGAGCTGCCACACCCATTGCCTTTGAAGAGGGCTCCCACGCTGGTTATCGCTGCACTGACTGCTGACTTCTCCCACATGGGGATCTCTCGCTTCTGCTGCTTCAGCTTCTGCCGGCCTCCCTGCCGGCTCTTTCAGTCCCCATCTGTCTCCTCCGGCTCTGGCATCTCCCACGGCTCTGGCTGCCACCACTGCTGCCGGTCTTCCTGCTGGCTCTTCTGATCCCTGCTGGGCTTACCCAGCTCAGGGATCCTCTGCAGCTCTGATTGCTGCCACTGCCGCTGATGGTCACAGTGGCTGGACGCTCTCCACTCCGTGGTCTCCTCTGCTCTTCGGCGTCCTGCCTCTGCTGCTTTGGAAGCTGCTTTTTACCTCCACCAGGTGGCATCTCCTCATGATGTCACCCGGCTCCAGCTGGATATGGGTGTGGCTGAAAAACTGCGCTCTTTCTCGCTCCTCCAGGCCCCTGCAACGGGTAAGTTTTTTTCTCTTTTTACCTTGGTCTGGGGTTTGCCTCTGAACGAGGCGTCTCCCTTTTCCGGTCCTGTGCCCCTGGGACACACTCATTAAGCAGGTTGGCTTTTTCCTGGGTGTCGGTTATCAGTTGTCCCATTTGGTTCAGCAGGGGTCCAATGTTACCCTTGCTCTTTTCTGACTCCCTACATATCTGAAAAAGGACTTTTTATTATCCTTGATATGTGAAACCAGATGGAGTTCAGTTGCAGCCTTGATCTGCTTCCTGCAGGCATGGACCAGTGCTGAGTACCCCTCCTTGTTGGTGATTCCAGCCTTCCATCCCTTACAAGTCTCTCTTTTTAGGTGAAGGAGGTCCTCAAGTTCCCTGCTGAGCCAAGGGGGTTGCTGTGCCCTTTTGCTACCCTTCCTCCGAGATGGGATGGACAACCCTTGTGCTGTCAGGATTGCTCCCTTGAGAAGCAACCACTCCTCTTCCTGTTGAGTCATGGTCTGTTAGGGCCTCGACAATGAGCCTCCTGAGCTTGTCAAAGTCAGCTTTCCAAAAGTCGAGGACTTCTACATTGCTGAATGACTTGCCAGCTTTGCAATGGATAGTAAAGGTGATCAGCTCATGGTCAGTATCACCCAGCTTTCCATCGATTCTTACGTCACGGACTAGATTATCCCCTTTGATCAGTACCAGATCCAGCAACGCTTTACCTCTTTTTGGCCCATAGACTTTGTGGGTGTGTCCATACATGCAAGCACGTGTGCTTGCAGCAGCTCAAATAGAAGTGGTGCAAATTTGAACTGGGGCTTTTTGCCTCAGTGCATGTGCTTGGACATGCACTTTGTTGTGAAGCAAATTGTGTCACTTGGGACAAAATAACCCTGCCTGGTTTCTTCTGGATCTGCAGCCAGGGGAAGCTAGAGCTCAGGGCTAGCACCTGTGCCATCCCCAGCAGTATAAAAAGCTGCCCTGGCAAGTAGCTCAGGGCTACTCACTCTTGGGAGCTTCTGGGACCCAGCCAATTAGTACCTGGGGACACTACCCCATGTGCCAGCTGGACTGCTGAAGCAGCCCAAAGAGTTCCCTGCATCCTCTACCCGCTGCAGCAGTCTGGCAGTGGGGGCTGCTGCCTGGCTGTGACTGGCTGCACACCTGACAGACCCAGATGGGGACTACAAAGCCAGTAGAGGCATCTGTCCCTCTGGGCCAGCTGCCAGTGGGCTGTGGC